GGCCAACTTGTATGAGATAATCAAATTTGATCTCAAGATATGATCAAATAGACAAAATACGATGCCACTATTGGCAATGATCTCGGGCCCATCGGCTATGTCTCTATCGTCGTCGTTGCGCCGTCAGTCTTATCTATTGCTATCGTTGTTGTTAGTCGCCAGTTTTTTATTGTTATATTGCCTGGCTTCCCAAATTCTTCCAACTCATACCATGTCAATGGGTACAAGAAGGTAGAAATTGAGGGAAGCAAGACAAATAATAATGAAAACAAATTAATGTCTAAGGAGCTTTCATAAAGAATTCATTGTTACAAAAGAATCCTTACAAAAGCATCATTATCAAAAATATCAGGTTTATGTACCTATTATGGGGTTTACATATTCTATAAAAATAAGTTCCTGCAGTTAATTACATCATAAACAATCCATGATTATTTAAGAAAACTTCCGATTAAGATTTAGATTTGCTCTCATAAAATTCAAAAATGTTGTCAAGGAAAGGAATGTCAAGATTCTATCCATAGGATAGTAGACTCCACACTATCCTAAAGTTTGTTTAGCTGAGATTCATCCTTTTGATCCATGTCTTGAGTGGCTAAAATAATCAACTTGCAGAACAAATTTTGCACGTCTTATAGCTTGTAAAGAAAATCTAGGATAACATTCATCTTAGGTTCAACAACCTTGAAAAACAAAGTTATCAGAAAAGGCATTTTATGTATTTATTTTTGTCTGTTGAATTTTAATTTTTTAGACAACTTGGTCAAGATTCCATGGCTCTGTCGTCCCAGGGTCGTCAGATACCTTGATCTGCTTAGTCTGAAAGGTAGTTACACCAAGACCAAAAGATTCTTGTAAACAACCACGGATTACATCATCCAAGAAATCTTCATAGACCAAAGCATGTTGGGTTTAAGATTCGTTCGGCGATCTTTAGTCATTAGAGTTTCATTCAAGTTTCAATGTATTTTCTGATTTTTAGGGGTTGAAAATTTTAGGTTGCTTAAATCTTCATAAGGGAAGTACTCAAAATCTCTAATATAATCTCTGTTCCTACAGTCTGTGTACTCCCCTTCCCTTCAAAGAAGCCCTAAGAATCATTTCTATATATGGATTCATGAATTTTGTAAGGAAATTTCTTTCCAAAATGATTTCCCGCTTTGTCAATGTCAGCATGCCGAAAACTGGCGTGGTCATTTTGGGCTTCTAAATTGGACATTATGGTCACGCCCGATCCCAACATGATCATGCATGATCCCGGCATGATCATGCCCGATCTTGATGTGGTTGCTTCGTAGGTCTGTAAATATGGTGTGGTCACACCAGATTCCGACATGGTCATGTCAGATTCTGGCATGGTCATGCTAGATTTTGGCATGGTCATGAAACTGCTCTCGATCACATGGCATGGTCATGTTGCTTCCAAGCGTGGTCAAAAAGCTTCAGGCTAATTTTTCATTGGTTTTCCTCATTCCAAATAGTTTGTATTCCATACCTGCAACCTACAAAACATCAATAATAGCCTTACTTAATTGTAAATTTGTGATAAATAAGTTAAATTAACAAGTAAAATGTAAGGTAAAACATATGTGAAATCACGTAAAATTAAAGCATGTCAGCTCCAAAAAGAGGGGAATAAGTTTATAAGGTAAAATAAGCTTATATATATTCTCATTTAAAAAAAAATTGTCAATAAATATTCAAGTAGGCTCAAAATTTGAACTGATTAAACTTATATTTTCCTTAAAAATTCCAAAATTTTTTATGCAAAACTTAAATATAGAGTGAATTCCTTAATAAAAATCAAGTTAAAACTTTTTTTAGAAGTAAAACAATCCTATAATAATTTCAAAACCTAAGAATTAAAAAAAAAAAAAAAAACTTAAGCAAAGCCACTTTCAGAACAAAAATAAAACCTAAGTAAACCCTTAAAAAATTAAAAGCTCAAACTTAAGCAAAACCTTTTTCAAACCAAAACAAACCTATACATAAAACATTTTCAAAATTAAAATAAACCTAAATAAAATATTTTCAATATAAAAGTAAAATAAATATATTTTCAAAAATAATATAAAACCTTAGTAAATTTTTTTAAAATTAAATAAAATCTAAACAAAATCTTTTCAAAACCAAACCAAACACGAGTAAAACCTTTAACAAGCTAAAACCTTTTTTTATATAAGAACCCAAACAAAATTTTCAAAATAAAATCTAAGTAAAATATTTTTTAAAATAATGAAAACCTAAACAAATATTTTAAAAAAAAAAATAAAACTTAAAAAAAGATTTTCAAAATTAAAATTAAACCTAAGTAAACTTTTTCATTATTAAGTTAAACCTAAATAAAAAAAATTTTTCAAAATACAAGTAAAACCTTTTGAAAAGGAAAACAAACCTAAGTAAATTGTTTCAAAACTAAAAAAACATACCAAAGTGAACTTTTTTGAAACCAAAGTAAAACCAAAGTAAAACTATTTACAAACTAAGAAAATCTTTTTCAAACTAAAATAAACCTAAAACAAACATCTTTAAATTAAAATCATTTTCAAACTAAACAAAAATAAAACTATTTATAAAAATATACAAACATAAGTAAATATTTTTAAAACTAAAACAAACTCTTTCTTTTTCAAAATCTCTCATAAGCTCACCAATTATATAGAATTTTATACCAAAGCTATATAAGTTCGCAAATCATCCTCCTAAATAGGTCAATTCCATAAAAATTGTACATGTTTCCATGTCTAGTTTATAAAAGAGTGTATTTTCATTCAAAAACATGTAATTTATAAGTTTGAACACTAAGCATACATGCATTGGGTAATTCCCTACTTACATTTTTTTTTTCATTTAATTCATTTATAAGCTTAATATTATTATATATATATCAAAACTATTTTCATATTTGTGAAAGGTAATTTTTTTGCAAATTAAGCATGTATATGAAACTTAAGTGTGAGAAACGTAAGTGTAAATAAATTAAATGACAATTTAGCAGAAAAACCAATGGAGAACACTGACTAAGGATAGGAAATTAAATTCAAAAATAAAACCTAGAATGCCTTGATCTTCATGTTACTAACAATTATAAGAGTTGAATCAATAATAAATTAATTATTAAACCCCAAAATAAATAAAATTCAAAAACTTAAATAATGGAAATCAGCACTATGTAGATTAATTGTGAGCCATAGGTTAACACCTTATAAACAAAGTTCAGGATCACACATTCCCTATAATAGTTCAGTCTAGAAGCCTAGGTAGGATTAGTATGTACTCCTAGTTGCTAGTAAGGATTAGGATCTATAGAATAAACTTGTACCATCATAGGCTATATAGGTGCCTTAGGTTGAAGTTTCCTCATAGTTATTAACAATGCACCAAGAGTCACTTTAGGTGAACCATGCATGTTTAATTTTATAAAGAATCTTCTAAAACAACATGTAATAGAGATAGCTCAAATCATGCATGTTTAATGTATCAACTGATTTAATCCCTTAACAGTCTCTATCATGGTTTTAAAAATTTAATTAGACAAACCGATTCAATTGTGAACCAATCATTCAACCAATGTAGTCCAAATTTATAACCATTTTTGCATAAAATGGTATTGAATTAATCAAAGTCAAGGTTATACTTGAGAACTAGCAAAATGATCTAGATTTTAACAAATTAGTTGGTTCAAGTATTTTCGATTTTGGCCTTTTAATTTTGATCGGTTGCACAAATAAGATATTTAAATTTAAAGAAAAAAAGGAAAAATATATTGTCTTAGATTTTTTTATTTAAAATATTGTTCAAAATATTATCTTAAAGTAAAATATTATTTGTTGAAAAATAAAAAAAATGATATTAATATTTAACTATTTTATTATTTAGATTAAATTAAAATAATTAAATTATTTATTATATCATCCAGTTCAACTTTCAAGTCAGCTCCGATTGAACTATTGAACCTTAAATCTTTACTTCTTCTGGTTCGATGTCTTGTCCAATTTTCACAATCCTGGTATAGTTTATCAATTGCAATCATTTCTACAATTTTAGTTACTTGAGCCATTTCAGTTGATCTTGTCTTTTACAAGATGGAAAATTAAAAATAATTATGTGTGTCAAATAGGTGAAGAATTGACAAACTAGAGTAACATCTTTTGATGAAGCAATTAATATCAATTGTAATATATGTTTTAAATAATAATAATTACAATATGCAAAAGAATATTCTTCGATGAACATTTCATTCCGTCGCATATTACTTACACTTTCTCCTTTAAATTTCATGCACTTATATCTTCAACCTCAATTAAATCGAAGAATTGATTCTTAATAAATTCATCTTTATCTATAAATTTTAATACAATTCTTATTTGTTCCTAGATTTATTTTTTTTCAAGATTCATCAGCTATAATGCAATATTCTATATTATCAATTTCTTCTTATATAAAATTCTGAATATAGCTCAAAAAATAGATATGATATTTTTTTGAATTTTAGAAGATATACATAAAACCTTTTAGAAAGTATTTTATAACACTATTGCATCTACATTCTTATAATAAGATTTTAAAATATAATCAGGTGAGGTAGGCGAGGGTTTCGATTGGGCAAAGTCGGAGTAGACGAAAGAGGGTTGTATATATACGGATGAGGGTTATGTATATATATATATATATATATATATTAATTTTATTAATTATTTAAAATTGACTTTTATTTAATATTTATAATTATTTGATAATAAAATTTTGTAAAATACAATTAATTTTAACTAATTTATGATAACTTAGTAGGACTTCATCAATCAAAATAATTTAAAGAGCTGAATGAATCATCAAATTTTTATAAATTTATCAGAATTATTTGTTTGATTATTTAATGTCAATTGTTTTAAGAAAATAAATAATTGAGAATTAGAAGAAAAAACTAAAAATAATCTTGAATTAAACCTCACTCAAAAAGATTTTTTTTTTCACTGTAGCGTTGCTCAGCCCTACGATAAATATCTCGCAGGCCCCCTAAAACCCTTCTGGAAGTTCAGGTTTTTTCTACCCTACAGCAGTTTCTTCCTCGCCGTCGTCGCACAGATGGCAGTCTCTGCTTTCGCCGTCTCGATGGCGCGGGCAAATCCGTCGTTCCGCTCGGCCCTAAGTCTAATGTTCTCGAAACGCTTCTTCCACTCCGCCGTTCCATCTTCCCCGCATCCTATTGGCGTTGTCTCCTACATGATCGGCGGCATCATGCGCCGTCGTCCGATACCTTATGCTTCCGTGCGGCTCGTAGCTGGAGCCGGCGCTGCCAGGCTCAACCAAATCCGTTGCAGAATCAATCGGTCAGGTGACTCTCCCTACTCACCTATCAACTCGGGATCCGGCGGCGGATTCAGTGACAGGCCGAGTGACATGTCGTTGACTGAGATGGCGCCTCTGTTCCCTGGCTGCGATTATGAGCACTGGCTCATCGTTATGGATAAGCCAGGCGGGGAGAACGCTACCAAAGAGCAGATGATCGATTGCTACGTCAAAACCCTAGCCAAGGTCGTTGGAAGGTTGTAGTCCTATCTCTCTTGACTTTTCCGTGGTACTTTGAGTCATTAGTCTCTTAAATTTATTTTCATAAATGTTTCTTGTTTTGTTAATCCGACCGCTCAATGAGATGTGGTTGGATGTTTGAAATTATCATACTATTCTTTTCTGTTCAGTGAGGAGGAAGCAATAAAGAAAATCTACAATGTCTCTTGCGAACGCTACTTTGGCTTTGGATGTGAAATTGATGAGGAAACATCTAATAAGCTTGAAGGTTAGTGATTCTGTGTTTCTTTAACTTTGTAAGAATCAAAATCAAATTATTTATGTAGAACTGGTGCTGTTGATGCTGCCTGTTTAAAATAACACTTGAATCACTTGTTAATGAATGCTGGCCTTTTGATTAAATTCAACGTTGGAGCTTGTAGTTATATTGCAAATTCTGGACTTCAAACCCATAAAATAATAAAACATTTGGTTTGTTACTGATATGTACATATTTGTTTGAATAGTTTAAAATGGACAATTAGTTTTAAACTACTAATGGTTCAACTTGAGCTTATAAGTAAAGACTATTTATATTTTAGTTTAGGGATGAACGAAAAATTACTGCTAAGTAAGTTGGTCAATCACACAAGTATGCATATTAGGTAATAATGGGGTTAATGAGCCGCACATCGATCCCACGAGAAAATAGCTAAGAAATATTCCAACAAGTGAATTTATAGTTTACTAAACGTTTAAATGTAGTTCAACATGATCAAAGGTAAGCGATATAGTTCCTAAAATCCTACTCAAAAACATAAAACCAAAATCACAAATTGCAAAATATAAAACAGAGAGCAAAAGAAATAGTCTCAGAAAATCAAAGAGAAAGCTCGCACTAGTTCTTCAAGAAAGAGGAGATAAGATCCCATTTGAATCGGGTGTAGTGTTGGATTTCGTGTTTCTCCTAGTTGTTTCTTAGTGTAGTTGTTGTCAACCAGGGATAGTATTTTCTCCTGCCTATGCCTAGGTTAGAAGGAGAATCAGAAACATATGGAGTTACATTTTGCTTAGGAGCAGCTTGGTTGGAAGGATTTATGATGTACTGTAATTAATTTATAGGGATTTGAGGAATTATGTATTTGGTATGAAGAAGTACAAATATAATGTAAAGTTTCAATGAATTTAAAGTTCACTTCTTAGTTCATTTTGACTAAGGGTCCGTTTAGGATAGCTTGTGCGTTTCAGGATAAACTGCTTATCCTGAAACGCGGGCCGCTGGCCGGCCGCGAGGGTCGACCCGCGGCCTGCGTTTAGTGTAAAAACCCAAACACAGTTTTGGATAAGCTGGCAGCAAACCGCGCGAACCAAACGGTACGGCGGCGTTTTGAAAATGCTGCCCGCACTTATAAGCTACCCCAAACCGACCCTAAATTTAGAATTCGACAGATTTAACCAAGTTTGAATTATATTGTAAAATGCTATCAGTAAACTATCGCCCGCCTGCTGTCCCCCGACCTTACGCCGTTGCTGCCCCCGCCACCCCCTTATGCCCCTTGCCCGCCACCCCCTACGTGCAATTGCCGCTCGCCATTACCCTCCTTTGCAGTCCGCCGCCGCCCTCCTTTGCAGTCTGCCGCAACCCGTTGTCACCACCATTGTCGTCGTCCGCGTCCACCCTCTGCCCACCGCCTCTGCCACCCGTCGGCCGCCGCCTTTTGCTCGCCTTTCAAATAATATATTACATTTTTTTCAATCTACTTCAAATCAAGCAAAAAAGATAAAGTCGTGCGTTTATTTTACAGTAAACCAAACAATCATAAAGTATTTCAATTATATTGTAATAACAATACTCTGCAAACCTTTTACATTGTATTTTATTTTTAGTAAACCAAACAACCCCTTAACCCCATAACATTTCCTAGAATTTCTTCAATCCGTTGCAGGTCTCTTGATGAATGCTTTTATTTTATAGAGATCTTTTCTTAATCTAATAATTACAAAAATGAAGAAACACTGCTCTGACTCATAAAATGTTGCACCGTGTGCTAAATTGCCAGAGGCAATGAAGGAGTAGATTCAATCATATATGAAAAAAATCAATGATGTCAAAGAAACTTGTACAATGACAATTTGATGATAGAGTTTATGTTGATTTTTACTATGAGAGTGAGTGTAGTGCCGAAAACTCCTTATCATCTTTATGATCAATGTAGTAGAGGTACAAGAGTTTCTCTAGGTCAATATATAATAAATGTTGAAGATGACAAGGGTCATGGAGAGAGAGCAACTGTTCCATTCAATTTAGCAATCTCTTGAGAACAACTTGAGCATATACCGTTGCATGACTTGATTGATGGGTGACCGAACTAAGAGTGCAACTACTGGTATACAATTTGTTCGTTTTAACAATATTTCTTTGGGATACAACAAACAAAAGATATTATTACAAAATATTCTTTAAAAAAATTAATATTTAATGTGTTTATTGAAATAAGTACCGAATATCTAAATATTAAAATTTTAGGTTCTAATTATACATTGTTTTTCAAACATTGTTGAATGGTGGATCCATTTTGGTGATGGTACTCTAGAGATACTACATTTTGTTGTTTAAGTACTAGGATGAATTTATCTGATGATCTTAAAGATGAATTTTTTGATTGTGCATCACGTACGACATGATCTTAATTTATTAGAACTAAATGAAAATATGGCACTAAATAGGACGCAATGGAGATTAAGACTTTGTTGTTGAGGTACATATGCCATGATATTGAATGATAAAAAATTGAAGAATAAAAATGTTTGAAGGAAGATAAGAATCCCTTACTATGTGAAAATATGGCATCAGATGGCGAGCAGTTTGTGGATGATAATAATTGAGTCACGGTATCTGAGTTTCAATAAATGATCTAAATGCTGAATATATTTATAAAAAATTAAGTATTTGATATTGTCTTAATCCTTAACTAAGGAAAAAAAAATTTGTTGATTACTCTTTATTACTTGGTTGTAAAGAGAAAGATAATGGGGGTTGAAGAAGAGGAAGAATGTTGAGAAAACACAGGCCTAATTGAAGAGGAGATCGTGAAAGTTATATATTATGATGATGACTTCAATAAAAGACCCTCGAGTGATGAGAGTGTTCAGGGCTTTTGATTATTTATATTTTTATTTAGATCGATGGATGACAGAATGTTTTTCTCTGTTCGGACAGAAAAAAAGAAGTCTATTATGCTAAATTCATCTCATGTCTTTGATATTTTATATTACTTTCATTTATTATTTTATGCTAGATTGATAACTCGATCAACTGATTTATATATTATAGTTTTTATTTTGTACAAGTGGTTATATGATATTTTATGGTTCAGAACATTTATTATTTTATATAATTACAATTTACTAAATTTGCTATTCTTAAATATTAATATCTTTTTTAAATATACCTATAAGTTATGATGTTAATATATTATTATATATTTTGACTTCAAACAATTTTCATATTGTGAGACTTTCTCCTCGGACCACCTCGAGCTTACACTTCGCTTCATGAATGGAGAACATCTCAATGTCCAATTGAACAATTTTAAACATTGCTTGTAAGTTTACCATATATAATTGGCAATTTGAATAAATGATCTTTTATTGAATTTCTAAAATATATCTAGTATTATTAACTCAAGATTCTCTTTATTTTGAACGTGCATCCCTCTCACTGATTTATTGTTAGTTTCTTTATTACCATTTTTTCCTTGATAAATGTCCATTAATTTATGTGAGACAATGAATGCTATGCATATGTTAGGTAGGTTATATTTGTCTACTCTCTTTTTCATGAAATCTGAAATTTAGCCTTACATTTTTTTCCTCTCGAATTCAAAATCTACGAATGCTCAGGTTTTTGCCTTCAGCTACTAACTAATGATTTGATCCATTGTCCGTTTTGTTCGTTTGCATTGCTCAGGACTTCCAGGAGTTCTATTTGTGCTCCCAGATTCTTATGTTGATGCTGAAAATAAGGACTATGGAGGTATTCTTTCAAATACCATTTAAATAATTTTTATCTTCCTTTTTAGTCTAATTTTTCCACTGCATCGCATTTATGAGAAAAAAATTGTTGCAAGTTTTATAGGTGAAATGTGTTCTTTTACTTTGGATGTATTTCCAAAGCCCTTCATTTCGATCACTTAGACAAACCTCTAAGGCAATGCCCTTCTTTTTTGTTACGATGATTGTGCACAAAGATAGTCTTGTTGTTCATCCCGTCCTCCTGTCATGTGTAGTTGCATATCAGTAGAGGAAAGAGAGGAAAGGTTTTGGACTATAAGATTATTTTATTTGTAGGTAATTTAAAAATTTTTGGTAGCCCTAGAAATTTGTATTTCCTTGTAAGAAAACGTCTTTCTGGTAATAAGTTTTTGTGGCAGTATTTAGAATTAACTGCTGCCGACATGTGCAGTCTATGTCAAAATTCCTTGGATGAAGCCATTGATCGGCAGTGGAAAGAAAAACAAAATGGATTTCTATTTTAGCTTATACAGTGAAGCTTTTTCGAGCAGATATTGCATTTTCTAGTTGTGCCTAGTTATACTTTTGTATTAACGTCAAGTTTGTCATTTGTTCAACGCTTCTTTGAAAGGTGTTACAGAGCAAGTATGATTTAATTTAGTTATTCTGAATTGGTTATGAATGCTCTATGAATCCTGCTAAAACAGTAAAGTGTCCATATACACTAGCGTTAAACATTGGTGTTTAATAATTGATTTTTTTATCTATACTTACTGTAAAGGACTTCTCTTTAGGGCCTTGTCTAGCTTGTAGGCAGGCTTCTTTGTAGCAAAGCACTATACTTTCTTGAGTAAACATGTACCCTTGGTTTATGCTGGTGCTTTAAAGTAATGGAAATATCAAAATCTCGAAATGCTTGTAATGGTTTTAATTTTCTTGGTTGCATTAAGTTACATCATTAATTTTATCTTGTTTGTTACATGCAATGTCATTAGCTTGTGTTTAAGTAACTGTTGAAAGAAATTTTAAATATAAGATTTCGTATTACTGGAACAATTCAGGTATAATATGATATTTGCAAACTTTTGTTTTGCTAAACCACATTTTTCATGATCAATTTGCATACGACTCTTGGTTGTTTATTCAAATTAACTTTTACTTTCTATCTCCTAAGTTTCAAATCCCTTCATCTCAAAGAAACATTACAAAATTACATGTCGAAGGTAGGACAGAAATATGGTGTGAGTGGGGACAAAATGGAGAAGTTGTGAGAAAGGAAAGAGAATGGGTAAATCAAGGTAAGATCAATGGGAATAACCAGAAGTAGAGGATGGAAAAAAAGGCAATAAGAGTAGTTTTTTTTTTCCTACTCTCTAAATTCTTAACACCTAATAATTTGCAGCTTGAAACAAATTTGCCTTCTTGTCCTTACAAATTTGGGAAGAGTTAGTTGAATTGTTAAATATGAGATATAAAAAAGTAGAGGAAGATTTGATAGTTATTGGAGTCAACTTAAGTTGTAATTCAATGAGTTATGTTCATATAAGATATGAAAATGCATGAGGAATTAATTAGGCTAACAATGTCTATAAATTAAGTACTAGTTGGTAATATCTAAGTTGAGCATTTTACTAAAATGAAAATTGTTAAGATGGATGTGTAGAAAAATTAGAGAGGATAAATTGAGGAATGGTTATGTCAAACGGATGATTGGAGTTACATATATTGAAGATGAAGTTGCAAATAGATTTCATGGTTCGCATATGTATAACTACTTGTAGAAAAAAATGCTTCCATTTGATGTGCACTTAGTGTGTGTTGAAGGATGGGAAATAAAGAGTGATTGATTTAAGGTGACATAGAAGATGCTTTAAAATATAATTTTGGAATTGATTGAGTACCACATACGTCTCTTAGTAGAATAAAACATGAAAAATGAGAAGTCATGCAAATAACCTTACATAGATGATATAAAGACTAGGATGATGATGATGATCTTATGATATTTGTTGTAAAACCATCAAATCTTTCATTCATGAAGATGAACTATGTTATTTTGGACCTCCTTCAATGCATCAATGTAATATAGTTGTCTTAATCTTATATACTCTAATAAAATCACGGTCAATCCTTTGCATAGTTAACATACAACAATAACAACAAGCCTTTATACCACTTAGTAGGGTCGGCTACATGAATCCTTTTTCTCCATTACGACCCATTGAGTTTTTCTTTTCATTTAATTCTAATAAATTAAGATCAATTTTTATGCAATATGCCCAAGTCTTTCTAGGTCCAACCCTGCTTTTTTTAATATAAGTCGAATTTAAAACTTCTACGCTCTTAACCAGATCATCAGATGGTCGACGTTTAATATGACCAAACACTTCCAAACACAAAAAGGAATAATTTGTTAATAATTTTGAAATTATGAGAGAAAATAGTCTAGTATAGAAGGTTTATCAATATCATGTAAAATAATGATAATATTGTTTTAATTCATGATTTTTATGAAAGGCTTAATTTCGAACTAAATTTGATATATTTTATTTTTTGTCTAGCTAATAAACATGTCAATAAACTAAAAAAAGATGATGAATTTGTGAACTAAATTATACACACAATAATAAGCTATCAATTTGAATGCAACTATATGATAACGTAGTATTACTAGCAATAAATTATATTAGATTATAAAAAAATAACTAAGTGCTAACTTGAAAAAAAATAAGTACAATAGAGTAAGAAAATAAATTGATTGTGTTGACGATTGGGTGGTTGTAGTGTTGTGTCTTGTGGTGATGGCTGTGGGATGTGTGGAGGTGTGGTTGGGTGTTAGTGGTTTGGTGGTTGTGGGTTGTGTGGTTGTAGGGTTGTGCCTTGTGGTTTGGTGGGTTGTCTAGATGTGTGGTTAGGTGGTTGTGGTGTGGTAGCTATGGGTTGGGTGGCTGTGCTGTGGGCTGTGGGATGGGGGTACATGGGCAAAGTTTGATTATTTCCTTCCATACAACTTATACTTAAAAATGGGTTGGACAGTGTGGTATGTTTGTAAATGTGGCAAAGTTTTAATGTGATAAGCTCCAAAGAATGAGAAAAATGTATCTATAAAATAGTTATTACAATTGATTGTGGTTGGAGGTGGTTGTGAGTGGAGGTGTGGCTGTGGTTGTGTTGTGGAGGTGTGGTTGTGGTTGTGTGTGGTTGTGGTTGTGGAGGTGATTGTGGTTGTGTGTGGTTGTGGTTGTGGTTGTGGAGGTGGTTGTGGCTGTGTGTGGAGGTGGTTGTGGTTGTGTGTGGAGACTGTAGTTATGTGTAGAGATGTGGTTGACATTGTGTTGTGGTGGATGTGGTTGTGGGTTGTGGTTGTTTGGTTGTGTTAGCTCATGTCGGGTTTGTGGTTGTGTGTGAAGGTGTGGCTGGGGTGGTGTTAGGGTAGTGCTGTGGTGGCCATGGGTTGCGGTTGTCTGGTTGTGTTGGCTCATGTGTGGGTTGTGGTTGTGTGTGATGGTCTGACTCTATGTGGAGGTGGTTGTGGCGCTCGTGATTATGTGTGGAGATTGTGGTGTGTGTGGAGGCGTGGTTGGGGTTTTGCTGTGGTGGTTGTGGTTATGGGCTATGGTTGTCTGGTTGTGTTGGCTCATTTGTGGTTTGTGCTTTTGTGGAGTTGTGGCTCTGTGTGGAGGTGGTTGTGGTGCCTGTGGTTGTGTGTGAAGGCTGTGGTTGTTTGTGCTGGTGTGGTTGGGGTGTGTAGTTGTGGTTGTGGTTGTGGTTTATGGTTGTCGTGTTGTGTTGCTTTTGTGTGGGTTGTGGTTGCTATCAAATGTTAATGTTTTGTTTTCTCTATGCTAGTAATGCAATGATCTAGAATAATGAAGTCGGTTCATCAGCTATGTGGGATAGGGAAGCCAAACTAATATTTTGCAATCTTTGTCTTAAGGAGGTTAAACTGGGAACTAGGCCTGTCACCTATTTTAACAAGGAAATGTGGCAAAATATAATGAAGAAGTTTAAGAAAATGACAAAAAGAGAGTACTATAATTCAACTGATGAACAATTGAGATCAGTTGAAAAAGGGCTGAAAATTATGAAAGGAATAAAAAGGATGATCCATGGGCTTGGGTTGACATCCAATCAAACGTACTATTGATGTTTCAAAGGAATGGTGGGTTGAGAAATTACAAGTAACAACATATCCATGAAAGACTTTCTTTTCGTTACTTTCTCTCCCTGAACTGTATGAATAAATTAACTTAGTCCTTATATTGCAGGTAGTGTCAGCCACCAAGAAATTCAAATTCAGTGAAATTGACCCTGATCTTGAAGAAAAATTGAACTATATGTTTGGTAGGGTAGTGGCAACAAGGATAAATGCCTGGACCCCTAAGGAGCAAGGGTTTGCAGCATAGTTGAGAACTTGGATGTCGAGCAAACAACTGGCTCTGGTGAAGGCCCAAGCCCAAACTAAAATAAAGTGGAGTCTACTTTCAGGACAAAGCGTCATAGGGCGGAGAAAAAGAAAGAAAGATTTGCTTTCATTATAAGCCAAATAGAAAAACTAGTGGCATCATGCTCCAGTGACCCTGGGATTTCACAAGCGACCTCCCTCAACAACGTAATCCGAGTTCTGGAGGCAAATCCAGAAAATTTCTAAGGACGTCGTTTTATTTGAACTCTATGAAGTTGCTGGAGGACCCGAATCGTAGAGTGTTTTTCATGAAGATGACATCTTCTCGTAGGGTCAATTATCTACGTTTTTTTAATGACAACAAAGACCATTGATTTTATTTAGTTATCTTTGCACTAATTGTATTTATTTTCCAGTAAGTTTATCAAATTTCTGATCTCGATGTTTTTTCTTTTTTTTTTTTTTTTGGAACAATGCTAATGCTAATTTGGATGCTTGTCTTTTTCTCGTAAACTTTATAATTCACTATTTGAAGTTTATTAAAATTGTTTGATTCACATGTCTTACCGGAACAGAGCACTTATTCAACATGATATCATAAAGAGAGAGACACAGAA